ATGTGTATATTTTTTTTTTTTTTTGGCAGAACTTGGGATTGAACTCAGACCCTTGTGCTTGCCAAGGAAGCACTTATTTTACTGAGCCATCTTCCCAGCCCCAATAGATGTGTATATATTGTTGTGTTATGATACTTTTATCTCTTTTGGGAAAATACCTAGACGAGGAACCTGTGGTTTTTGGTTTTTTTGAGGAATCCTGATTTCCATTTGGTTGTACTGATTTATGGTCGTACCAGCAGTGGGGAGGGGTTCTTTTCCCCAAAAGCCTTGCTAGCATTTGTTAATGGTTCATTTGTTGATGATAGCCATTATTTCTGGTGTGGGATGGAATCTCAATCTTGTTTTAATTCTTGATGTTATTTCTTGTGTAATAATTGGAGTTCTGTGCAAAAAGTCTTTGCTTACACTGTATCTTCAAGACTTTTATCTATTTTATTTCCCAGCAGATTAGGTGTTTCTGTTTTAATATTTAGATCTTTGATCCATTTTGATTTTAGTTTAGTGCATGATGAGAGATATGATCTAGTTTTAATCTTTGTCATGTGGAAAGCCAGTCTTCCCTGTATGCACAAATGCTTGATGTAAGAACAATATAGAAAATGACAAAATGATTACTGTTAGTTTGCCACCTTTAACCATAGGTACAAGATTTATAGTTACATAATAAAATCAAATAAAAATTATAAATATCCATTCATTAAAGTGATTTTAGCCTTGAAAGAATATCTTAAAAAGATAAGAGGAAAAAAAAATAGAACAAAAGAAGAGAAGATTAGAAGCAAGGCTGACAAAGGAAGAATATTCAATCTTTGGGAAACTGGAGAAAAAGATAGGAAGGAAAGCAAGATTGTAAAATGAAAAACAATAAACGTAAACTAAAAAGTGTTCATACTCGGGAACAAAAACAAGAACAACAGAAAACCCGTCAAAAGTAAAGAAAAAATTCTGAGATTTCAAGTCTGTGGTTCAATTCAGGGTGTGTCTCTGCTGTCAGTGATAGACAAAGGAGGCAGACAGAGCACAGATCCATACTGAATGATCCTCCAAGGCCTGCAGTAGGATTATGGTGGCATGCCAATTCTGGTAGTTTCAGCTTTGTAGAAGTTGAGGCTGATCCTGGCCTTTGTGGGATTGGATGTTTCTTGCAGCTTGACATTAGCTCCCTTACCCTGGGCATCTCTGGATGTCCCTCACTCAGTCATTGTGGAATTTCGACACTGGCAGCCCTGAAAAGAATCTACCTCATGGTCACTTTGAGCACTGGGTTCAGTTGGC